ATGGGGGTGGGGGGAACACTGATCAACACACAAATGAACATGTTGAATTGAAGCCCTTTTATACAACATATAAAGAAATTTTTTTAAAAAATCAAACACTTAAAATTATTACAATACCTCTGCAGCATGTAAAAACAAAGGATGAAATTTCTTCATGTATTTTGTTCTTCATAAGAAAAGATATCACCTCACACTTGCTAAGGTGATTACTACTACAAAAGATAAATGTTAGTGGGAATGTGGAGAAATCAGGACACTTGTATACTGTTGCTAGGGATGTAAAATGGTGTACCTACTATGCAAAACAGTATGTAGGCTTCTCATAAAACTAAACATAGAATGATCATATGAATTTTCTGGGAATGTATCCAAAAGAGAATCAGATCACAGACTTCTGCACTAACATGTTCTCTGAAGCATTAATCAGAACAGCCCTGATATGAAAAGAATATAAATGAATAAAGAAAACCTGATGTAGATGCATATATATTTATATACACCCCCATAGGATATTAATATTTCACAAAAGGAAATCCTGTTTGTGCCTACATGGATGCATCTGGAGGTTATTATGTATTATACTAAATGAAGTAAGCCAGGTATAGAAGGACATGCTGTCTGGTGCTATACGAGGTATCTGAAATAGTGAAGCTCATAAAAAAAGGAAGTAGACTGGTGGTTACCAGAGGCTTAAGGTAAGGTAAATCAACAGATGCTATTTATTGGGTTTAAAAGTTCAGCTGTACAAGATTAATAAAATCTAAACATCTTCTTTACAGTATGGTACCTATAGTAGATAATATTTTATCGCACAAATTTGCTATGTGCCTTTTTCATATCAATTATACCTCAATAAAGCTGTTTTTTTTAAAAGAGTTACCCTATAGCTATGTCTTTGCAGATTGGAAGACTACCTTGAGAAGCAAAGGAGGTGTTGAAAGAGTCAATGTCTCATACTCTGGAATGATTCATTTTGAGTCATATTTTTTTTTCTAAAATGGGCAGGCATTTGATTGTTTACATTACTGCAATGACACACACTGGTGTGTACTTAGCAGTCAATCTTGAACAAATGGGAGTAAATTCTTATAAAAACAATCCATATGATTGGACAGTTGCTATTTGGTAAAGCTGATTCCTAGAATTCTCAAATATCTTACTCTACAGAAGAATTCTATGGTGATGTTACTAAACTCCAATCATAATAAAATCATTTACAAATTTATCTTTAAAATACTCTTTTTCATTTCAATGAAAAGACCATGTAGGATTGTATAAGGAATGAAATGCAAGAAAAAATTGAAAAATTAATTTATTATATGGAAAACATACATAACATTTGAGTCAAGGACTTGGAGAAGCATTCTATAAAAGCTCACATTCACAACACACAGGCTGAGGAGTATTGGCACATGCACTCATAACCATAGCACTAAAATTCTAAGGTTGTTTCCAAGGAAATGCTGTATCCAACAAACAATTTCAATACTTATTTTCCCATTTACAAGGCTGAAAAGATTATACTCACATCCAATAAATGATTTCAAACAGCCATTCAAGTTGTAATACACAATTATCAAAAGATGTCACATCCTTTATGAAAGACAATATCTATAAGATAAATTCATCTGCCATACTTTCTCAAATTTATTGGGTCCTTTTTCTTCACATATCATGGATTTGTGTGTTAATTTTTGTAAACAACTGATTTTTTAAGGGTAACTGCCATGAAGGCCAGAAACACACCTGTTTCATGTGTGTGGATAACTCTACACATTTTCAAACAACAAGAAAGTAACAATAACCTGCTACAGGTTTGAATAATATAACTATGCATGGCACTTTAAAATATTTTCAAAGCATTTTCACATCTATTATATAGTTTGATCTTTCTGATAATATCATGAGGTAGGTTGGACAAGTATATCATCCTAATTTGGTGGATGAAAAAACTAAGGCATAAAGCAATTAAGTAAACTTGTGGGGCTGGATAGGGAGATGCCAATCTCTATACTGGGTTGTCTTTAGTAATGACGAGAGAAAGTCTGAACACGTTTAGTGATCTTATTTCAACATGTTTTGAGGAAATACTTCACACCATCCAACTAAATGACAGTGATTCTGTTGGAGTAGCTACAGGACAAGTTATGGCATGTAATTCACTACACAAAACACTGAGAGTCTTACAAACTTGAATTATAACTGAAAAGCACAATTAACTCCTAATACATAGGAAAATGTGCTGGTTTCTTTTATGTCTTTAATACAATCTAGCTTCACAGTGTGAAATACACATTTTTTTGGCTCTTGCAGAGATAAAATGAAAAATTTCAGTTCACCATGCAAAAAAAGAAAGTTGAGTTCTCTCTCCCAGAGTGAATGGACATACATGTCAAAAGTTGGTTCACTTTTCTATCAAGAGCTAATATTGAGAGAAAGTCCAGTTTAGTTACCACACATGTGTCTTTATAAAAAGGTGAAGTGGGCTTGGGAGTCTGACACTGTTAGTTTGATTTTGGGTCATTCAAAATGCTTAGCTATCTCATAAATTATAGATTTACAATATGTTTTGAAAGTAATACTTTGTAATTCTTTTGGAGACAGGCTTCTAAACTGAAGCTAGAAAGTAGTCTCTGAATCCTTGTACAAGTCTGAACATTCCTAGTCAGAGGCAGTCTGGTGATTGCTCCAAGGCCTTGCTTCCAAGGCATGACCTGAATAAGGTATTTCAGATGGAAAAGGGGCTCCATCATCTCTACCCTTAGCCACTACAAGGCTTCAAAGCAGCAATTTCTATTTTTTGTTCTACTTGGAAAACTTAGCAAGTCTTAATATGTTAGTGTTTGATATATGGCCTTAAAGTTCTATCCAAGCCAGCTAAATTGCATAGCGGAACAAATTTTATTTATTTATTTTTGTTGGTCGTGGGGCTTGAACTTTGGGCCTGGGCGCTGTCCCTCAACTCAAGGTGAGTGCTCTACACTTGAGCCACCACATCACTTCCAGCAATGTCTTTCTCATGAAAGATCTTGAAAATATCTGGTGTCAGGAAACATAATGAACTGGTTTGATAGAAATACTGGAATGACTTGAGTGACCTTGCTTCTCTCCTAACCATTATAGAACCTCTCTGTTAATTAGGAAACAACCAGGAAAGGATGTGTTAACGTCTTGTCTATTTTAGCTGTGGCTTTTAGCATCATTACGTTTTTCATTATTACAATTGTGTATATATGCACATAGAGAGTTCATGAAAATGCATGTCATATAAAAGAATCCTTTTGGTTATGCATGTTCACTGTTCATGGAGGCTTCTTAAACGTAGGGCAAGTGGTAGTTTTTGGGATAACAAGAAAAGCATAGACAATATTAAGTGTTATTGTTATTTGATTCTAAATATGCAAAAATATTATCTATTTATTGCCTAGTCATTCCCAAACAATTAAACCACAGATATCGATAAACCAGGAGAAATTTAAATGAGGAAAAACATCTCATAAAACTAAAATTTAGGGGGGGCTGGGAAGGTGGCTCAGTGGTAGAGTGCTTGCCTTGCATGCATGAGGCCCTGGGTTCAATTCCTCAGCACCACATAAACAGAAAAGGCCCGAAGTGGCACCGTGGCTCAAGTGGTAGAGTGCTAACCTTGAGCTGAAGAGCTGAGGGACAGCACCCAGGCCCAGAGTTCAGGCCCCATGACTGGCAAAAAAAAAAAAAAAAACAAAAAAAACCCACTAAAATTTAGGATCTATAGTTTAGGACCATATTGATGTCTATACTGGCATATATGAAACTGTATAAATATTAATATTAAACTGTATAAAATATTAATAACTCTTTCACTGGAGACCATGTGAAAGAATATTTAGTTTTATGGATCCCTGTATTTACCAAATCATGTTTTTACCTTTGTGTTTGAAATTACTTATAAATTTGTTATCAGTAACTATTTAAAAAATTATTAGAAATGTTGCAACCAGTTAATTATGCTTTGTGTGTGGGGGGGTCCATACATTTAAAGATGTGGATCCCTGTTCCCTCTGGTAGATTTCATAAATAGAGCCTCCTTTGGACGTTTCTCAGATTAGTGTGATTTTTTTTTTTGATCATCTGCTTCCAGGTATTTCACTATTAAGATTTTAGTGGTTGTAGTCATTTTACTTTAGTTGATTCTAGTCATTTCCCAGAATGATTGAAAATATGCTATCCAATCCTCTTTAATGAAACAAATAGAATTCTTCTATTTTCACATTAATGGAGAAATTATACAGAAGATAAAAGAATATAAGAAAATCATGATGGAGATTTTGTTCAAATTAATTCACAATTCTGCTATTCAAAATACATTTCAAAAAAGAAAGAAATCTGGTCATCTCAACTCTTTATACAATTTAAAATTTTTATGAAGGCAATCTCTAAGAGTGGTGATGAGGAAAACCTTTTCATGTCAAATAATAAAAATTAAAATGCATTATATGCCTGTGCTGAGAGATTTCTGTAGAGTTTTGTTGAAAATTTTAAATTGAGGTAAATCGTGTCTAAAACTCTCCTAGCAGGCAATCAATGAGGATGGAAGAGGGAAGATTGAACTTTATTTAGCTCTTTCCTCAAAAGGTGAATCCTAGTGAATTCTACTAGAAATTTCCCAGAATCCTAACATAAGAATAAACCTTGAAGAGGTTTAAGCCTACCTTCTAACTAGTTCACAGCTTTGAACTGAGTAGGTAAGAATTCTACCTATATTACCTTCAGTCATATCAGTAACAATTCTCTTGTTCTAAATTTCTTCACCATACAGGAGGAGCACGCCTATCAAAATTCTAGGGCTTCTTTAACTACATTTAAAATTCAATTTTACAGCTATGGATCCCAGGAAATAGTCTCCAAATCAATTCCAGATAGCATGCCACGATAACTACAGTTGGCTATGTACAAAAAGACATAACAAGATGAAAATAGAACATATGTTTATTTAAAAATCAAATTTGAGCAGTCCTCTTTGTAAGCAGTGACAAGAATGATGTTGCTGATAGCAGAACTCCAATAACTTTCTCTGGTCAACAGGATGATACTTCGATGAAAATGATGTTCAGGGATAAAAATTCATCAGGTTACTAGACTAATAGTCCAGAAAACTATAAAATTAGTAAGCTCTTCACATTCTGCCTGATGGATCTAAACAACCCAGTTCAGACTTTAGGAGTGAGTGAAAAAAACAACAAAAAAAACAAAACTTAAGAATCACAAGAATGTACCATGGTTACTTGTGAACTGTGGTTAGAATACCAATTCATCTCTTCACCCCTTCAATTTCAGGTTTCTCTATCCCAGTTCCCACATACTCAAAGGCCCTATAAAGAGCAACAGCTCACAAGGAGTTGACAGCTAACGTCCTGCTTTGTTCCCTGTGCAGGGCTCATTACTTACAAAGAACAGGTATGAACTCAAAAACAAAAAAAGCCTGTGGACTGGGAAACTTCAAGGTTCATTAAGCAGAGCATATATCATCAGCACTCAAGGTCTGAGTGGGATCAGGACTCATTTTGCTGCTAGAAGGTGTTTCATCTTGATCTGTGGATGACTTTACTTCTGTTTTTTCTGCTGACTCACAAGATTCCTGCTTCCTGCAGGCCCAGCAGAAACACCTGAGCCATGCCCGAAAGCTTTCAGAAACACTGGATGAGAAAAGCTTTTTGCAAGGGTGGAAGAACTGATAAAATACGAGCATGAAGAGAATGGCTGCACAGTATCCAATGAGCAGCTGCAGAATCAACAGAGGTGCACACACATATATGTAGATGTCAGTCTTGAAGAGATACCACAGGAGCAGGAGGATGGAATTCTCAATGAACCTCATCATGTAGTATACCAGCAGCCTGTACCAATTCTGGGATTTGCTGATGAGTTCAGGGTTGTCAAGCTTCAACTGAACAGCTGACCAGCAGAACATGTTGATACCAGCATAGAGTAATGTGAGGAAGCACAGTGCAATGGTTGTGCCCACCCGACTGAAGGCCTTCTCTATATTCTCGGGAAATGGAGAGCCACTGAACCAGAAAAGGATCCAGGGATACAAGAAGAAGCTGAAGAAGTTGACAAGTATGACAAGTACCACCCAGGTCTTCATGACAGAAGCAAAGAGGACCAGAACAATGACACGAATGGCAATCTCAAAGCTCCTCCAGAGGAAGATACAGACATAGGCTAGAGGTTTTACTTTAACCTCGTACTCATCGTATTTGATTTTGATGGCTAGGATGTTGCAGCGCAAGGCTCCGTACACAATTGACAGCAGGGACAAAGTCATGAACACACCTGGGGAGAGAAGAGAAAAGAACACGTGAATTCTCAGCTCTCTTTGGATATTCCTGTGGCAGATAGACACTCTGACAGTCCTCTTCACATAGTTCTGGATCCTTTCATTTTACATGCTCAGGCTGATTTTCAACTACCTATATTTCCTTCCCGATGACTTTCTCTAGAACTATAGGCTATGCTGCCTACATTCCTGTAGCCCTGAAAGAGTTCCCAGTACCTGAAAGCCATTCCTGATACAATCTGGAATACAAGTAGCCTAGCTTCCCCACACCTGAGGCATGTATCATGCACCATTTCCAAGGGTCTCATTGTATGATTTAACCTCTAGTTTCCTACTGTGATACTTGTCTAATGTTATAATCTCTTTACTATCTTCCCTTCTCTACCTCATTTTCTTCTCCCTTATTCCTTACACCTTTCCTTTTAAAACACAGGGACTCAAATGATTCTCTTATAATCTGCTTCAGAGACAACTTAAACTAAAACACTTTTCTGATCTCTTCCCTTCCCGCCTCCCTTGGTCAGTGTGAATATGTAGTCTTTTACATGGTATGCTTTTTATTTCTTTTTATTTTTGTCAGTTGACCTATAAGCATCAAGGAATTGAGACCATATCTGATACTTACTCGCAAATTGAAGGCACTCAACAATACATTTCTGAGTATGTTCCTTGACTTGACTACAAGTATGTTTCTTCAAACTTGACTACAAAATGTTCATTTCACTTGTATTCCTAAATTTTTCAGAGATCTGAAGATGTGAGACTCTGTGACTGAAGAGTTGATCTATGTTGGATGGAAAGGCCTTAGCATTTTGAGGAATCTCAATTCTAGCTGTTTATTGTTTAAAATGATGTATGGCTAATGGGTTGATCAAGAGTGTACAAACAGTAGTAGTTTGGAGGCAATAAGATGTGCCCCATTTTACTGGAAGACGGTATTATGTTCCAGTTAACTACTATGGCCTTGAGTTCCATTATCCAAGAAGTATCCACCATAAGCAGAGACTGTATGTTAAAAACAGAAATTTAATCACTTCTTACAGGCTGCTACATTCTCCAGAAATTTGCACAAGGAGGGATGGGCGGCAGTGATTTGAGTCAGAAACCAAGAGTCTGACTCTGATTTGGTTTTTGGCCATTCCAGTCCATATTTAGCCCAGAGTGCTAGCCTTGAGCAAAAAGGCTAAAGGATATTTTGCAGCAAGCACCCAACCATAGAGTGATGTGATTGAAGTCATTTTTTGATGTAGGTATCTAGGAATTCTATCACTAATTTTTAAAAAGATCAAAAATTTCCATTATATTGCCTTTTCCTCCTTGCTGAAGATCAAAAATAGTTGATTATATTTAGGTGTGCCTATTTCTAGGCTCTCTATTCCACTGATCTACTTTTTTAATTCTTTTGCCAGCACTGTAATGTCTAAATTAGTATAGCTTCTTAAAATGAACTTCTATATAATTCTATCCATGTAACAATATTGTTTCTAACCTGACTTATAATACATCAGAATAAAATATTTTTCTTTTTTAATTCAAAATTAGTAGGGAAAAAATCTTGTGTTTGGGGGCTGAGAAGGTGGCTCAGTGGTAGAGTGCTTGCCTTGCATGACTGAGGCCCTGGGTTCGATTCTTTAGCACCACATAAGCAGAAAAAAATGTTGTATTTGGCAAGTATAAAACCTCTGAAGCCTTGGTATTGATTTACCTGGAAAAAGCTCAATTTTACTGATAACATCAACTTTTATCTTAGTGTTTGGCACTGATTTCAATGACCAATATCATTCACAGGAAAGATGGATACTTATTAATCAAATTTTAAAAACAGAAACATTATCACCAGAGTAGACTGCAAAGTAATTGGCCTAAAATACTTTTTCCTGAGGGGCAAGTTCAATGGAACATTGTCAAGCAGAACATATTAATGATGTACTTTTTTATGTGATGTACTTTTGAAAGTGTGGTTATGAATTCTCATACCCTAAGGATCCTACCAAATATACACAGAACAAAATTAATACACTAAGAATAGCCTATTACATTCCCTCTAGCATTCCATGACACCAGCAGTCCAAATCATCCTATCCAGAAATGTCCACATCAGCTAGGTGCCTACCTTCTCTCATCATAGCCAGATAGATCTCTAAGTTCCTGCTACTCTGTGTAGCTCATGGGCCAATAGCTTTGGCATTGATGTTATAAGTACCCTAGCACATGCTGCCCAAGTCAGAATCTGAATTTTTACAAGATGTTCTAGGTTATTTGTATGCTTGAAGTTATTTTCCCCTTTTCCTTTCTGGTTCTATCATATGTTTCTCTGATGCTAACCATCTTCTTTCTTCCTTTTCATTTGCCTGGTTAAACCCACTTTTTGTTTTTTGTCAGTCATGGGGCTTGAACTCTGGGCTTGATGCTGTCCCTCAGCTCTTCAGCTCAAGGTGAGAGCTCTACCACTTGAGCCACAGCACCACTTCCGGTTTTCTAGTGGTTTATTGGAAATAAGAGTCTCGCGGTCTTTCCTGCCCCGGCTGGCTTTGAACCGAGATCCTCAGATCTTAGCCTCCTGAGTAGCTAGGATTACAGGCATGAGCCACCGGCGCCCAGCTTAACCCACTTGTTTTCTAAGGCTTAGTGCCCCCTCATCAAGGGATTCTTTCCACAGCCATTATTTATTCCTTCAGCTTTGCTAAAAGCTCCCATGACTCTCTCAAATCTAACTTAACTGGCACTGTACTGGGATCTCACATTTATCTTTATATCATCATTTGAAACCTTTGGGTTACTTTTTTCCCCAATAGAATATAATCTCCTTGAGATGCCTACTATTTCACGCAGACATTGTGTGCGTGTGCTTGTCCTGGGGTTTAAACTGAGGGCCTGAATGCTGTCCTTGGTCCTTGAGCTTTTGTGCTTAAGGCTAGAGCTCTACTACTTGAGCCACGGCTCTCCTTCCAGGTTTTTTGGTAGTTAATTGGAGATCAGAGTCTCACGGACTTCCTGCCCAGTCTAGCTCTGAACTGTGATCCTTAGTTTTCCTCAGCTTCCTGAGTAGCTAGCATTCCAAAGAAGCAGAATGCTAATTATTGAATGTTAACTCCTTTGTACAACTACTTAAAGATAATAATGGTAATAAAATATACTTTTTAAAAGTTTCTTCATGTAGAGAAAAATAAAACATCTTTAAGATTTTTTTCAGTATCCAATCTAAAAATATTCTTTGAGGTACATAAGAGGTCTGCTAAATGGGGACACAGCATCAAGACAATATTCTCTGATCTCAAGAGTACAAAAGGAAGCCAAGTGCTGTTCCAGAAGTTAAGACAAATTAAATTATCTTGGAACTGCTGTGCTTTCCTGGACAGTTAACAAGATTATGGTTAGCTGGATTCTATAGCTTTCTCTTTGAGGTTAGACTTCAATACTCATTCTAGAATCTATTGGTATTCTGCCTTCATTCTACCCCAGACCCAGACAACTAGTCAGCAAATTGTTGATGAAGTTTAGTGATATCATCATCATGTGCTTATACTTAACCATCTGCCAGTCAATCCTCCTGGTTACTATCACAAATACTGCAAAGGGTTCTTTAACAGCTTTAGTGAGATATAATTCATAAATTTAAAGTAAATGATAAGGATTAGATTATTTACAAATTATTTACAACTATCACCTGTTAATTTTTGTACATTTTGATTACATCACAAAGAAATCTTATACCCCTTCAATGATGCATGATCCCTCTTCTAGCCATAAGCAGCAACTAATCTACTTTCCATTTCTATAGATTTCTCTAGTCTGAACTCTTAAATGAACAATATTAATGTAACATACACATTATGACTGATTTCTTCCTCTTAGCACAGTGTTTTTGGGGGTCATCCAAATTATTGGATGTATCAGTCCTTCACTTGGTTTTTATGACCAAACACTATTCCAACGTATGAATATGAAAGACTTTGTTTATCCACTCATCAGTTGCTAGACATTAAAGTTGCTTTCAAGTTCTACCTATTGTGACTAATGCTGCTATAAATATCTATGTACAAAGGTGAGTGTGCACATACTTTTCTTTTCTAGGAGTGGTTGCTAGGTCATATGGTAACTTTATGTTTAACTAAGGAACTGCCTGACTATTTTTCAAAACAGTTGTAGCATTTCACATGACAAAAAACAATATATGAAGATCCCAATTTCTCTGCATTCTCATTAACATTTTTATTATTCAACTTTTGATTTTAGTCATTTTATTTGGTGAGAAGGCTTTAAAATTGTGATTTTTATTTGTGTTTTCCTGATGACTTGAGGATTTACAGCATGTTTTCATGTGTTTATTGGCCATTTTTATATCTCCCTTTTCTTTCTTTTTTTGCTGGTCCTGGAGCTTGAACTCAGGACCTGGGCACTGTCTTTAAGATCTCTGTGCTCAAGGAAAGTGCTCTACCACTGGAGCCACAGCACCACTTCTGGCTTTATCTGTTTATGTGCTACTAAGGAAATTAACCCAGGGTTTCATGCATGCTAGGCAAGCACTCTACAGCTAAACCAAATTGCCAGCCCCTCCCTTTTATTTCTTAACTATGGATCAAATTCATGGTAGATTTTACATTTTTCTGTAAGTATCCCAAAGTTTGCCAGAATTTAAAGGTTAGATCTCAACAGACTACTACTGAATAAAATATTATACGTACAGCTGGCAATAAGCATTTAAAATGAAAACAAGACACCAAAAAGAAAAAAGAGTTTACATTCTGGTAGTAGCAGACCATCTGGTTTTTATCTAATATTCCTTCAAGGAACTGGACAAATAGCTGTTCAATCTCATCAGAAATCTGTCAAAACAATGAGTAGTTTGGGGGTTAAGATCTCAGGTAGGAGAAAAACCCTCAGGGAGTAGTTTGAAGCTACTTTTTACATCCAGATATTTGACCAAATGAAAGCAGGTACTAAGAGACTAAGAATCTAAACAAAACTTTTCAGCAATCTCTTAAACTTCTGGGTG